AAAAAAATATAGAATTCTTAATCGGGTGCATAGATTGTTATTTTTCAATTCCGGGTAAGATAAAGACCGAAAGACAGATTTCCATGGCACAGTAACTCATTGGTAGCCGTACATTTCCTCAAAGGAAGGCTTCTTCTTCATGTCTTTGTGCGCTTCTTTCTTAGCTTTTCTCTTCATGTACTTATCCAACTTATTGTCCTTCTTCAACTGCTTGAATTTCTTCTCCAAATTCATCATTTTAACTTGTGCTAAACAAAAATACCGTTATAAAAAAACATTCTACGAAACACCGCGAAAAACCTTTCGTTTTGAAGACAGGTCGTTCTCCATGCATCATCCTTTCGATATTTGCTTCTCTGAGTTCTCGTAAAGTCTCTTCCTTCATTTTGCGCTCGGCCTTTGTTCTTTCACGATTTTCCATTCGACGTATGGTCTAAATTGATATTAATAGACTAGAAATAATTCATAATTAGCCTAATTAGCCCGCTTGAGATTTGTAAATTCTGGATACCTCACGAATCTTCTCGGCAGTTTCAGAATCTCCTCGTTCTTCACAAGCAACAGCTTCTTTAGTTAATTCCTAAAGATATCACAAATAGCGGTAAAGGAAACAAAATCAGCCATTGCAAACCTCTTTCTCCTGTCGTTTCAAGTCCTCAAGGAAGCGGTAGTTGTCGTCAAAGCATCTTTCCTTGAATAACCCAGCTCTATTATCGAACCGTGGGTCACGTTTCCTGAAATCAAGTACAATTCGCAACCAGCATTTCCCACAATTATGGAAAATGCTCGTTTGCACTGCAATCAGGGCTACAGCTTTACCTTGGAGACCCCTTGCTAATGAAAATGTCACCAACCAAAGACGCAATCCACCAAAAATGAGATGGCGAGATGGGTGATACAATAGCAAGATCCCTAACTAAGTGATCAGATAGCCCCGGTGCAAATGAAAATCCAAGCGAGAAAATCGCTCCAGGGGTCCAATTCCGAACTCTTAATCTTCAGCCAACGCTAAGTGGAATCACCCTGCGATTTCACCTTCTTCCAAACTATTTTCTCACTTCTGAATTCGCCTTTGCAGCTGGAGTTAGCATTCGTTTGAAGTCTCCACTATCGAACTGCATCAAAAATCTATCCTCAATTTCGTGTGGACGATTTTAGTTAGCACATCATTATTAGGCAAACCTTTCAAAGGCATAGTCACAGCACAACTCAACACAACAGTAAATTTCTTACTTTTTCCCAACATTCTCTTGATAAATGGGTCGGAATGCTGATACAGGTCTCTTTGAAGAAATTTCTTTTGGTCGATGCTGTCCGTGAAACTGAATGAAATGGTTTATGGAATGGTTTTGTTTATAAAAGTTTAATGTATGATGTTCACCTCAGCTTTTTTCGCTTCGAGCTTCTTCTTCCTACTCTCTTCGGCTTTTTTAGTAGCTTCAGTAGCTCCAAAATACGCTTTGTTGAACAACTTCAGGCCGAGCTTTTCCTTCATCTCTCGCACCTTGCCAAGGGGTAAATCAGCCAAATCTGCAATCACATTAGCAAGTGTATTCTTTTTCATCAAGACTAAACGGAAGAGTACCAGCACGAAAATCTGCAATAGCTGCTTCTTCATCTTCTTCCTCGTCATCCTGATCACCCATATCACCTGTGTCCTCTTCTTCTTGTTCATCATGCTCGAAATTGGCAGGGCCCATTGTCTGAGTGGTTTTCCTCTTTTTATTCGATTCTAAATCCTAGAAACAGGAATTGCAAGTTCTGATAAAGTCTCTGAGGCTACTGTAGCTATATCTCTGGCATGTTATGTGAGGCATCGGCCTCGCCTATGCATTCGTGATGCAAAGTCGAAAAAAAAAACGAGAAAATCAGCAATTTCTTAGAAAAACTGCTCACTTTCGTGGATGGCCCTGCTTCCACGTCATCATCGGTATCGCTCAGATCCAGCTTTGAACTTCCTCTTCCAGTAGAGAATTCAATGACCTTTTCTTCGTCTGACATTGTGTCATCTTGATCAGTCTTCTAGAATGAGATTGGAAACATGGACATAATTCACTTGTGACATGACTGGAAAAAATACAAGGATAAATGGAATTTAATAATTTGAAATAACACTGAGTTATGAACGTTGAAAATACACAATCACAGACTACGAAAACTTCTAAAACCATAGAAGAGGATAAAACTTACATTTGCAGCCGGCGACGTGGAAGGTTTGACTGCATGAGCCATAGGAACCTGAAAACTTAATTTTATTGACTAGGAAGTGGGGTTGCGACGTTCCAGTCAAAGTCAATTTCTTCTACGAAGCAAAAACGATTTCAAAATAGTTATGTAGCAGACCGTAGCGGTGTCGTCTCCATCCTCTAGCATGTCTGTTATGTCCACAACATCATCATCACTCGCATACATCTCATCTTCCGAGCCACCAAGCATTTTATGGTCGATGCTTGTGCCTTTTACCGGTTCTCCCCGGTTCAACTTCTTCTTCTTTTTAAAGGTCGATTTAACAGGTTTCCTAAATCTTTATTTTGTGCAAAAGAAGGGGAATCTCAGAAGTCGTGGTTACCCGTTCTTTGCTTTCTTCAAACCATCCGCCACTTTCTTTTTTCTCTTTTTACTGACAAGGCCATCATTTTCAGAGAGATCAGCCTGAAAGTAAGTGGTGAAAATGGAAAACTTCTATAAGTTGTGCACAAATACCACATAATAACGCTGAGGCTTCCGTGTCAGGACAGTCCCACCAACTATTGTTTCACGCATCTATAACATGAAAAATTATTTGCTCTTGATGAAATGTAAAATTTAACTGCGAACGGGTTTACTGCTATGTCCGTCAGACTATAATACTCAAAGATATAGGCATACCAAATTTGGTAAATCTTCAGTAGATTTATAAAATGGACTTGGCAGCGGCTCAGCAGAATTTCGTTTTT